GTACCTCATGAAAATGTTTTATTATTGTTATTTGTTATTTTGCCTAATCTAGCCTAAAAAGTTTCTATTTTTTTCATTTTAGTTACTTTTATAATAAAAAATAGAGAATACCTATGAAAAAGTACTTACCTGGGTCTACTTTGTTTTTGCTGTTGACTGTTGATCATACTTAACCCTACTTTTTTACACTAATGGTACTATTGCACTAAATAATTTTGTATTTAATTAAATAATGCATGAAAGATCACAGAATAATCACCTGCAAAGAGCTGATAATGTTCCATAACCATCACAATTTTTCTGGCTTTCTAACTGTGCAACAAAAGTTTATAAAATTTCAGCTAAGCTTGTCTATGTGTTTTCCATTTGAATAAAATTTGACCTTGAAGCAAAATAGACAGTTCTCTGTATAGAGATCAGTGTGATGTGATACATCATTTGATAAATTAAAACCTTGGCTTTCTATTGGTTATAAAAAATACAGTATTAAACATCAGAGAGAACTACTAGCAATTTCTGAAAGAGAGGATGTGACAGGTTGGCATGACAAGTGGGGTGTGATTTTCTATTTTACGGCTCTTTAACCAATTAAGATTGAAGGCTATAAAAATTGTGCTTTGCTTGAGCAATGATGACATTATAACGAGTAATTTACATTAAATTTCATACTTCTTGGAGGGGTGGTGAATAAATTAGAGAAGAGTGGATACCTAGAAAACAAATGTCACAATTCTCAACACTAAGGGAAAGTGACAATTTTTTTTTATTATTGTCTTTTAAAATGACGAACTTAAAACTTATATAATGTTAATATTTGGATAATTAGCTACATTTTCATGCCAAGTTTATTTATATACCATGATGAGAAAGTAATTTAATTAAGTTTTAAATGTAACTCACTAAAACCTCCTGACATGTGCACAAAATTATGCCCATTCTGAGAGTTAATACAAGAATAAAGGTTTAAACTGTTAATATAAGTAATTTGTAACTTCACAATCAAAACTAGAAGGAAAAACTGTGTTTCTCAACTTATTTCATGATTTTCAACCATTGTTTCATTATACTTAGATGATGTCTCTAAAGAAACAGGAATCAAGTGTGCTGTTGTTGTAGAGAAATTTAGATATAAAATAAAATAAAACTTTTGATATTCATTTAACAGGTTCCATAGGTTATGAAAATGCAATATAAAAACTAGAAAATGAGAACAAGAATTTCTGTTGCTATCATGAAATTCATCTTACACACAACAAAGTCTTGGATGCATATTTAGTAGAAATACTCTATAAAAAAAATCTGATTTTTGTGTACTACAAACTTTTCACATTTACTATAAGATTGCCAAATTTCACTAAGATACACTAAGTAAATTTGGAATTAATGTAACCCTTAATTCTTCAGTAAAAGCTAGGCCTAATGGATGGAGCCTGTGTGATAAGGGTTAAGGGGCCTTTAATGTTAATAACAATACCTTTCAAATGTCTGTGCATACCTTCATTGATGTTGCTTCCATCCACTTTTTTTAGGGGAAGGCAATTAAAAATTCATTAATGTTAACTTCTGATCAGAGAAAGCTACTTACTTAGATCAAAACTAAAATATAAACATGGTAGTGACAACAGGTAATGTAATATATATTTCTTACCTTCTTACATATAAATATTAAAATGCATTGTTTCATCAAATTAGTACCCTTGCTGTTAACAGAAATACTGGCCAAAAAACCATATCTCATGAAGTTCAGCAAACTTATGAGATTCAAGTTAGTCCTAAATACGTATATTAACCTAAGCATGTAAAACAATAATAGGTTATACTGTACCTAGGGAACACACAAACATTTGCTGTTTGCTTAAAGAATTGTCATAGATGTAATTTTATTTGAAAAACATAACATCAGTATAACTGAACCTTCCCAAACTCTCTCTAACAATATCTTGTGACCAATGCAAACCCATTAAAGAGCTGCATCAGTTTAATTATAAAGGAATGTGGCATCTGAGATAAATTACTAAGGTACATATGTTACTGTTGAAGTAGCAGAACATTACCAAGATTACAGCTAAAGACTAATGTCTAGGAAGATAGAAAATAACAAATAAGAAAATAAATGAATCCCTAATTCATACAATAAATAGCTATAATATTGGCTCTGCAAAGGAAAATACAATAATGTTAAATATAATACAAAGAAAACAATATGTTAAACACAGTATGGGGTGTATCAATACAACTAATCTCCATCACTAAACAAAACATATGGAGCAGGCAACAAGATGCAATAAATAAAGTTTGATCTTCTGAAAAAGCAGAAAAGCAAACATAATAAACAACAAGAAAGTTCAATAATATTAATAAGACTTAGAAAGAAAAGATACAACAATTGTAAACATGGTAAAGAAATTATTAGTAAAAAACTAATGATGAAATATCACTGTACAAATGAAACTACTGTATATAGCTTAAACTAATGGGAAGTAATACCAAGGATGGTCAACACACTAATGCAGTTCACTATAACACTAAATATTTTCCACAAAATTCAAGTAAAGATGTAAAAGTTTCTAAGAGGTCTTAGGAAGTCATGATATTCTGTAAAACTTCTAAACTCATAACAACAATACAGTTGAATTTACCACTTAATGGAATGACTTTTGTGTTTAAAATGTAGGAGAAACGTCATTTGTGAAAAATGAGAGCGAGTTTATGAGGCTTTTTCAGATGTCTTGTGGCAAAGAGCAAATTCTTTTCATCTCATAAGCTATTAGCAGTAAACAATGTAACATAATTTATTTGAATTTCATAAATATTTCAAAAGTACAGATACAGAATAACTTTTACATGATTATGTTTAAGTTGTATTTTCAATAGAGAAAAATGTAATTCATTATTTAATTTTTGTAGTGCATAAAATAGTGTATAAAAGATATTTTAATACTAGTAATAAACAACCTTATAACACCAAATTTGTTATTTACCTTTAGTGGGACACTCAACATTTTGTTTTACAGCTTCTTCAGAAGTGTTCTACTAAAACACAAAATGTAACTAACAGTAAAAAGCTTCAATTGGTTTAAATTATAAGTTTAAATCAAATCTATAATGTGCATTTCTATAGCATGCAGTTGATATATTAAGTAGTAAAGCTTATTGTTGAATTTATCATTTTCATGTTAGAGATGTGATGTGCATCATAGTCCTTGAAAATTTGATTGATGTAAAAGGTGAATATTTGTTGCTCTAAAGGAATGATTTTAGTTCAGAACATGTAGTGTTTTTTACACTAAAATTGTGACTGATTCTTTTTAACCCTCTCACTACCAACTTAGTGAATTACACTGATTTCATGATCCCAGAGTGACCATCAATTTCAATATTATATGTTTAATACATTTTGTGTATATTCATGAAATTTTTAAATTTCTATTTTTTGGGGAAAAATCCATTTTTTTACTAAACATTTGTCCATGAATATATATATATATCCAGTTAGTGTACTGATTGCTCCAAGTGCAAAGTGACTTTCATGTTACGATAAAAATACTTTTCTTCATCTGACAATTTTCAAAATTTAATTTTTGTAATCTCTAAGACCTCCTAAATAAATATCAAATGTTTCTTTTTATCAGAAAACCTATATTTTATGTTATTTTCTCTATCCTAGCTCTTCACAAGGTCAGTTGATTTGACTGACCTTGTAAATAACATAAACAAATTTGGAAATAAATTTAAATTCCCCCTTTTTCTTTATAGAATGACTGCAAATTGTAACAGAAAACTACAATTGTTTATCCTAAATAGCTTAAAGCTTTTAACAGTATACACCTGTTTATGCTTAATCTTATTGTTATATTACCTCTTAAATTATGTCTAACTAAGTTGTAAATCACTCAGCAAATGTGCAGCTCACGTTACTGTATCGAATTACATACCATACAAGCTGCTTGCAAGCACACCTCATGAAGAAATTTTATTATTATTATTATTACTATTTTTCATTATATTATCTAATCTAACCTTATTAACTCTAATAAGTTTCTAATTTTGACATTTTAGTTGCTTTTATAGCAATAAATAAAGAATACACATGAAAAACAAGAAATGTAATACTTACCTTGGTCTTCTTTTCTTTTTTCGCTGTCAATTGTAAATGAAACTTAAGTCTACTTTTTATACTAATGGTACTAGCACACTAAATAATTTTTTATTGAATTAAATAATGAACCTAATAACACAGAATACTAACAATAAAAACAAACAATGTTCTTTAAATATCATAATTTTTTTGGCTTTCTAACTATGCATTAAGAGTCTTTAAATATTCAGCTAAGTTTGTCTATGTGATTACTGTGAGAAAAATGTTTGAAGGAATGATGAAACAGACAATACCTTATACAAAAAAAAACAAAAAAAACATAATATAATATGTAAATTAATAGACTAAAATTTTGGCTTTCTAACATAGTATAAAATGTCAGAAAGAACTATTGGCAGTTTGTGAGAGAGAGGATGTGACATGTGGGCATGGCAAATGGGTCTGATTTTCTAGTTTATGGCTTCATGAACAATACAGATTGAGGGCCACAAAAAGTATGTTTTGCCAGTAATTTACATTAAATTCCATACTTCTCAGAGGGGTGGTAAATAAATTAAAAAGGGGGAAGACATAGAAAGCAAGTGTCACAATTCTCATACTAGGAGAGATTGAGGATTTTTTTTAATTTTTCATTGTAAAATTAAAAACTTGAAACCTATATAATAATAATATCTGTTTTGTTATCTATGTTTTGATGCTAATTTCATTAGTATGCAATAACACTAATGTATTTTAATTAAATTTTCAATGTAACTCTGTAAAAAGTTGCAGCATGCATACTTTAACCTGTAGTGAGAGGGTTAAAAAACATCAGAAGTAAGCCATCATGTGAAATTATAAGTGGTACTTTAACTAAAAAGAGTTGGAATGTCTGCAGTTTCTGTAACAAAATCAGTCTTACCTGTACCATCAGGGGTTCTGAAATCTTTTCCAAATACTTGTACTTCATGACGTCGTCCAACAGCAACCTGAGAGATATATGGCATCAGATTGTTAGGAATTCCTTGTGGGTCTTCACCAATTTGGCCAGAATCATGTGCCCCAACTGGATTAAAATATCTCAGAAGAATAATGTTCCATCTCTAATAAAGGCAAAAAAGAAGAAGAAAAAAAAGTATTTTTGAATAAAATATTTTACCAACTTTTTGCTCTAGGACTTCATACACGAAGCATTGTTGGAGGAGTCATATCGGGGCATAAGACTGAAATTTCACAACAAAAGTTTTTTTGATATACAGTCTCAATCTCATCGTTTTTTTTCCCAGCAAGATTTAGAAAATAAATGCCAGTATTCCAAATGTAAAGTTTTACAATACTTTACATCATTTGCCATTTCATATTTAAATTTCAAAACTTTCCTAAGTTAGGCCCCCATCAGTAGGAGGGGTAAGATCACCCTGTGCTACACTCCAATTTACACCAAGCTATGCTCTGGATACCTTACAGCAGAATATATATCTTACACCCTTCTGTAACTAGAATAGAATGTCTTTCGTCAGGTATATTTACAAATATTTAGATGATATCTTTCTTAAAAGTCTTTGTAAGCCTAATGTAAATAAACCTGAACTTGCTTGACATATTATCTAAAGCCAATATAACATAACACAACAGTCATTTAAGAAAGCTTGTACTCACATACCCAGGTTTCTGTGTTCTATATTTATCTTCCATAGGGCATGGGTCATACCCAAGAAAAAGGGTGGTGAAGAGGATTATGGAATACTCTGCTAATACCCTTATCTGACTGAAAGTGTGATATTAACACAATTAATTCTCTTTGTTTTATGCAGATGTGCATTACCTGCCTCTTAACAGCCAATAATGAAGTTGCACATTGAAGTCAACCAGTCAAATACTCATAGCTAAAAATACATAAAACAATTTATGTAATAAACCACAATTTTATCTTTTGTTTTATTTGAGCATTTGGCTTTTCTATGTTGTCATTATTAATTTCCTTCTCTGCACTACATTTGATCTCAAACCTTCTATACTTACATACTTAATATTGTTGCGTCAGCGAGATCACGTGACTATTCTCACGCCCTCTGCTTTCTAGAACTATCC